CTGGCTCGCCGGGGTGCTCGGGCGTGGGGATCGCCGGCCGTATGGGGTTAAGTTGACAGTTACTGAAAAGCCAGTTCTCCTTTGCAAGTGACCCGAGCGGCCGCGGGGTGGGCTCCAGCTCGGGTTCCGGAGGACGCCGAGCTGGTGACTGTCTCCGGAGCCGATGGGGGGGGGGGGGGGTCGGGGCGGTGGCCTGGGCTGCGGCGGAGGTCTGGACCCCCGAGGGCCGCGCGCCGGAGCCTGGATGTGACTGAAGGAGGCGTCTCCCGGACTGCGCGTCTGAGCTGGGCTTTTCTCTCCACTGACGTTAAAAGAAGACCTGGGGCTCAGACCGGTATCTGGGCGGCGTTGGCTCTATTTGGTTTCGCAGAGTTTTCAGGGATGGGGCTGAGGGGGGTGTGTGTGAGCAAGGTGGGGGTGCGGCGTGTAGAGGGGAGGGGTGGCTGGCGGCGCGGTGTGCGTCCCCACCCGGAGGAGCGAGGCGTCGCCTCCCCCGCCCAACTGTTTGTGTGTGTACACACGGCTTTGGTGTGTGGGCTGGGGGGGCGCAGACCGCGACATAGTGGGGACGCGCGTGGGCCCCGCTCCTCCCCAGGATCGGCCCCGCCAGCCCCCTTGTCTCCGAGTTGGGCTCGTTGTGTGTGTGTCCGCGCGCGCTGCCGTGTTACTCCAAGAGCGGAATGTGCGGCTGCAGGCCGGGGGAGACCCTGGGGTCGCGTGTGCTGGTCTTTCGTGCGGGAGTCCCCCCACCGCGGTGCGGCGGGAGTCGCGTGGCTCCTCCTTCGGCTTCTCGGGCGCCCCCTGACCCCGCCGACTGGCCCCCTGTCGGGCGGTTCCGGAGGCAGATCTGGGTAGACTGGGAGCACACGCCGCTTCCCCCACATCTCGGCACGCTCAGGTTGACCCTTGCACCGGGGCGCTCGTTGGGTGCGCGTGCCCGCGCGCGCCCTCAGCTGCCTTTGCAGACCCTGGAGAGAATCCGAGAGGTCTGTCCTGCCCTCCCAGTTCCTCAGTCTGGGCACCGTGGGGGCCAAAGCCTGCCCAGCCAGGGCCCAACCCCGCGTTGTCCGCAGCCCTGCGGCCTTGCACGCTGTTGCCCGCCTCGCACGCCCCTACCGCCCCGCGCGCTCTCTCTCAGGTCGGGGGATTATGTCCCCGGCCGGGGCCCGTGCGACAAGGGAGGAAGCCACTGGAGCGGCCGGCTCGCTGGGGCTGGAGGTTCCGCCGGGTGAAAGTGACACAGCACGAGCGCGGCGGCGGCGGGGGAGCTGGAGAGGAAGGAGCCGCCTCTAGCGCGGGGAGGGGCCCCGGCTGTCCGGCCCCGGCTCCTCCGGCCCCGGCTCCTCCTGCCTGCGCCGGGTCTGGGCCGAAAACCTCAGGAATCTCGGCTGGGAGCAGGCTCGCTCCGCGCGGAAATTACTTGGCTTTCGAGAGAACTCAATTATAGGGGAACAGAATGCACCGAACAGACGCTAGCAGACGTTTGCCTGAAGAAACTCCCTGAGTGTTTGCAATGGGATTTAGTTTACACAGTCTTCTGGTGTGTGTCAAGTATCTGTCCCGGGCAGTGTATGCTCAGGGTCAGTAATTCTGTAGCACATTTTAGGATACAGTGTCATCCATGATTAACAGAGTGCTGGAATACTAACATGTTATGTGACTTTACAGGGCTTACGCCCCTCGTACCCCCTACCCACTGCATTTATTAAGAGGGTCCTGTGAGGTAGGGGTGTGCTAACCCTGTTTCACAGATGACCACGCTGAGGTTCAAAAGTGATGTGACTTATCTAAGGCCTCTCAGCTGGGGAAGAGATATTTCCCCCCTTGATGATTTCTCTTTTGTTTTGAATAGTGGCCACTTTTTTTGAGTTTAAGTTTAAAAAAAAAAAAACTCACTACACCTCAGAAAATGGTAAAAGAGATTAAAGCATGCTGGTACTTACTCTTTGTCAAAACACTTTGGATTTACTAGCAGTTCTGAATGAGTGTCACAATTAAAGACCAGAAGTCTGCATTGTTCTCACTCATCTTCTTAGCTGCTGGCAGATGGATAGCATCCCTCATACAGCCTGCATGTACCAGAATCCCATGTACCAGAATCCTACCTGCGTGGCATAAATGGACATGGCACATGTCTACACAGTACACGCCTGTGTTCAGATGGGTTGTTCATGAAGCCTGTATTGAATTGACAATTTATTCTTTAGTGTTCAATTTCAAAGCCATTGGATGCTTTAGAGAGCTTTCTTTGTTGTTCTTGTTTTTGTTTTTGTTTGCTATAGGGTGTATGTGCTCACCGGAGAGACAGAGAGACAGAGAGACAGAAAGCGAGAGATCACCCCCCACCCCACCCCCCCAGGAGAGATGGCCATGTCACATCCCTTGTCCTCCAGTCTCCTCTCAGGATTTTGGGCACGCACGTATGAGTTTTAAGTCACCGGTCTGGGACTCAAACTGGAATCCACTACATGAGAGTCCAGCAATGTAACCGTTACACCATCTGCTGGTCCCTAAAGCCATTGGATTTTAAATGTGGACTTCTGAGAAATCATCCCAGCTTATACTCCCTGTAGCCTTCCGTCTCGTACAAAAGAGCAAAGGGCTCATACATGCTTGCATGTAGTTCTCAGAATTCATGGCATGACAGTTCTCAGATACAGACTGGAGAGTTAGGAAGTTTGGCCAGCTAACCGACCATTCATTCACACGTCTATATGTTGACTACCTCCCTGCATCTATTGGGTTGTTGAAAAAGTCATGATGTATTTTTTCTATGCAAAAATGTGTCATGACTTTTCTGACAACCCAATAAAACCTCATGCAAAGAAAGTTTAACATGCAAGCCCAACGAGCAGTTATTAGCACCTACCTTAGGCTAGGTACTTTAGGATGTTCTGAGCACACAGCAAGTCTAGCCGAAGTAGTTAAGTTACGATGCCATAACAGAGCCCACCAGAGGGAAAAGCATATTTTAGAGGCTCACCCTGGGACTTAGTCAATGTCATATATGTAGGTTGTGAGGGGCATGTGATGCCAGCTGTTAGCCTCGAGCAAATGCAGAAGGGAGCAAGGGGGGGGGGATCTTACTTTTCTTCTTATCCTGGCCTTCAGGCTGTTTGAGGTCTTCTGGGTGGACCAAGTGGTTTGTTCTTCTGTACAGGTTAAGCAGCTAGTAGGAAATTGCCCTGAAGCCAACGACCACGTTTTTCTGAGCAATGAGGAGCTGATAAGATGCTGCCTATGGTCTCACCCCAGATCTGATGTGTTGTGATTCAGTGAGCGTCTGAGGCTTTGGTCCAGGTCTCATCTGGGTCCTGACTGGCTTAGGGGTTTCTGTCTTACAGATCTGTACAAATGTTTAAAAATGTGTCTGCTTTTTTAATTTTTTTAAAAAGAGGTTTTGCTATAGGGTGCACGTGCTCACCAGAAAGATAGAGAGAGACAGAGACAGAAAGCGAGAAATCACCCCCCGGAGGTTGTGGCCATGCCGCAATCCCTTCTCCTCCATTCTCCTCTTGGGATCCTGGGCATTCACACACACATGCCTGGCATGAGTTTAAGCCACTGAACTGCAGTTGACTACATGGGAGGCCAGCGACATAGCCATTATGCCAACTGCTGGTCCCAAAATGTGTCTGCTTTTTAACTCTTCCCAAATATTGATAGTTAAATGACTGGTCCCTGACATTGTCCTCCAATTTCATTTCCATTTTAGGGCCTGTTTTCCTCCTCTTAAACTTAGACTGTTTACAGTACAGGCCATAAAGGAGGAAGTGGGAGGCGGGTGGTTGGGATGGAGAAAGAACCCTGAGCCCTGATAGAGAATAGGAGGTACAAACAGGTGAATGGCAGTTTTTGAGAATGGCCCAAACTCGATGGCATTTCTGCATAACTTGTACGATAATGTCGCATATCCTTTCGAAGTCCTTTTGCAGGGGGTGGAGGTTGGGTGGTCCCACTGCTGACTCACTGGTCCTCTCAGTTCAGCTGCTTCCTTTAAGGCTTTGTTTGACTTCTGTCTCCCACCCCAACTTTCTGCACATCATGTAATTTAGAACCTTGCTATGATGGCGGCCCTTTCTCTGAATTATCACCAGGTTGTCTACGGACACCTGCCTCTTCTTTCTGAATGAACTGTAGGCCAGACCAGTGGTTCAGAGCAGAGTGAACGTGGATGCATCCCTGGGACCTACACACCCAGAGCTGGAGAGGACCGTGGAGGTCTGCTGTAACCCCACCCCAGATGTAAAGACCTCAGGCCCAGAGAAGTGAAATGACTTGCCCAAGGTCACAGTGAGCTCTTGGGACAAGAACATCCTGGATTTCGATGCTATGTCTTCCAGTCTCCTTTCTGTATACCATGATGCTTTTTGAAAAATAAGTGAACAAATAAATAAAATAAAATAAAACGAGCTTACATTCTTCCTTCCAAAGAGTGAGAACTCTTCCTCTTCTTTTCTTTTACTGTGAAGAAGGTTCTTCACTTTTTAATCTTGATATTTCTTTCTTTCAAGCTTGGCCTGTCCTACCTTATCTTTCATCCTTGATATCTAGGAGCAAATGGGGCTTCTGTTTCGAAGAGATCATGACCCTTGGGACCTTCTGGTATTCTTAAGTTTGATCTGTGACCTTCCGGCCCTAAATCAGGATTTTCAGGAACCTTCTGGAAGTG